ACACCTACGCTCGGTTCGCAATAAACAACTGCACCTCCCAGTCGCGACCATTTCAACTCCCCCTCCCATTCCTCAGACAACATGTCCATCCTGGGCCTCCTGCAGTGCCACAACAATGCCACCCGAAGGTTGCAGGAACAGCAACTCATATTCCGCTTGGGAACCCTGCAGCCCAATGGTATCAATGTGGATTTCACAAGTTTCAAAATCTCCCCTCCCCCTACCGCATCCCAAAACCAGTCCAGCTCGTCCCTGCCTCCCTAACCTGTTCTTCCTCCCACCTATCCCCTTCTCCCACCTCAAGCCGCACCCCCATCTCCTACCGACTAACCACATCCCGCCCCCTCGACCTGTCCGTCCTCCCTGGACTGACCTATCTCCTCCCTAACTCCCCACCTACACTCACCTTTACTGGCTCCATCCCCGCCTCTTCGACCTGTTTGTTTCCTCTCCACCTATCCTCTCCTCTATCCCTCTTCTATCCGCCTCCCACTCTCTCCCTATTTATTTCAAAACCCCCTTCCCCTCCCCCTTTTCTGATGAAGGGTCTAGGCCCGAAACGTCAGCCTTTCTGCTCCTATGATGCTGCTTGGCCTGCTGTGTTCATCCAGCCCTGCACCCTATTGTCACTGACTAACCCTTTCTAGTACAGACTAGCCCAGAGTGTTCAAACTTTTGTCATAATTGATACCAATGTAAGTTCAGACCACTTATCCTTGTCTAGTTACTCTACGTAACATCATTCATCTCTGCTCCTGCCTCAGCCTACCTGCTGCTGAAACCCTCCTGTATGCCTTTGTTATCTCCAGATTTTGCAGTTCCAACACACACCTGGCTAGTCTCCTATCTTGTACCCTGTTTTCTTGATCATCTAAACCTCTTTAAGAATTATGTAGCTTGAACCACTTTAGATATTACCTTAAACTCTAGACTGTGAACAAATGATATTGTATTCACTGTGACAATGACATGGAGCTGAAGAAGTTTATTAATTCACATGCTTTAATGCATTGATGTTCAATAAACACGTTAAAGGAGCATGCATGCTAAAGCAGCTTCATTCACACTGTCTCACTAATTTTACTGAGTCTTGGACCAAAGCACTAAATAAAACGGTTTGAGTTTTGCAAACATTTGGTATTAATTATCAGCTGTTCCATTTGTACAGTTGCATGTCTACAATCGAAAAGAGAACCTTAATGGCTTTGTGAAGACTCCCCTTAAACTGCTCCCACTTGATGGGAATCCTGGTGTTTATGCAGTGAACTCTGAATTGGTAAGTAAAATTGTATGTGAAACTTCCGACAATTATTTTACCATTTTTGGGTTATGAAAAGTTTTAGTTTAGGCCAACCTGACACACTGCCTTTTAATGTTCAAAGCATTGTAACTGTAAAGCAGCACTCGCAGTAATATAGCTTAAGTGTGAACCTCCACATTCTGCTTGTATACCTCAACTTGTGACATTACCAATCCATCCGTGTTTGTCTCGCCTACAATATTAAACAGTTTTGATTAAATTCATGAGTTACATTCACTTACTGTGACTATGATAAATAGTTCCTTTCTTTCTCTGCAGACTTCCACATCATCCATCACACTATCCTTCTTTCTGCCTTTGTGTCTCTGTTTCTATTCTAATCTATCTGTTAACCAGAACAGTTTTGTCAATGGCTTCTCTTCATGTCATCATTGGAAGACCTCAAATGTAGGTAGGTATTATCACTCAAATTGATCCAAAAACTTGGCTAGTGTTCTGGAGACCCAGCTTTGAATCCTGCCATGGCAGATAGTGGAATTTGAATTCAATAAAAGTATGGAATTAAGACTCTACTGATGACTGGAATTATTGTTGAAGCCTATCTGACTCACTAATGGCCTTGAGGGAAGGAATCTGCAATTCTCACCTGGTATGGCCTACATGTGACTCCAGACAAGAAACTCCAATGTGGTTGACTCTCAAATGCCCTCTGAAATGGCCTAGCAAGCCACTCAGTTATAATGATCACTATGGAGTCTCAACAAAGAAATGAAACCAGAGGGTTCACCTGGCATCAACTTAAGCACTGGTAAAGACAATGGCAGAAACAACCCTGTTAACCCAGCAAAGTCCTCCTCGCTAACAAGGGGTCTCGTGCCAAAATTGGGAGAGCTGTCTCAGACTAGTCAAGCAACAGTCTGACATTGTCTTTGAGGTTTGATTCTGAGAGTATGACCGTTCCTGATGATGCCACTGTTGCCAACCTTCGATATATCCTGCACCACTGGCAGGACAGACCCAGCAGAGGTGTCTGCACAGTGGTGTACAGTCAAGAGGGAGTTCCGCTTGTATCCTCAACATTGACTCTGTATCTCCTGAAGTCTTATGGCTTCAGGTTAAATGTGGACAAGGAAAGTTCTTGCTAATTTAGTGTGCTGTCCTCCCTTGGCTGAAGGATCAGTACTCCTCCATGTTCACCAACACTTGGAGAAAGCATTGAGGGTGGAAAGTATACAAAATGTGCTGTAGGTGGATGATTTCAATGTCCACCACCAAGAATGACTCGGCAGCAGCACTACTGATCAAGATGGTTGGGTCCGAAAGGATATTACTACTAAATTGGGTCTGCTGCAGGTGATGAGGAAAAGCACTCTACCTGATCCTTACCAAACTGCCAGCTGCAGATGTATCTGTCCATTACAGTACTGATAAGTCCTTGCTGAGGCCAAGTCCCACCTTCACTTTGAAAACACACTCCATTGTGTTGAGTAGCACTATCACTGTGCTAAATGGGACAGAGTTCGAACAGATCTGGCAACTCAAGACTGCTTATCCATGAGGCACTGTGGGCCATCAACAGCAGCAGAATTGTACTCCTTAATCTGTAACCTCCTAGCATGGCACAATTCCCCCCACCCACCACCACCACTCAACCATTACCATTACCATCAAGCCAGGGGATCAACCCTGGTTCAATGGAGAGTGCAGGAGGGCATGCCTGGAGCAGTACCAGGCATACCTGAAGATGAGATGAAGCCACTAAACAGGATTACTTGCATGCCAAACAACAGGAGCAAGCACCAGACAGGGCTCAGCTCTGCAATCCTGCCACATCTAGTCATGAATAGTTGGCAACTAAGCAACTCCATTGGAGGAGGAGGCTCCACACGCATCCCCATCCTCAATGGTGGAGCTCAACACTTCAGAGCAAAAGTTAAAACTGAAGAATTTGCAGTAATCTTCACCCAGAAATGCCAAATAGATGATCCATTTCTACCTCCTCCAGTGGTCTCCAGCATCACAGATACCAGTCTTTGGCCAATTCGATTCAGTCCATGTGATATCAAGCAATGGTTGGAGGCACTAGCAAAGGCTGTGACAATAGTCCAGCAATGCTAGTGAAGGCTTGGGCTTCAGAACTAGCTGTTTTCCCAAGCTAACCTGTTCCAGTGCAGTAACGATGTTGGCAACTACCTAACAATGTGAAAAATTGCCTAGGTATGTCCTGTGCACCCAAAGCAGGACAAATCCAACCTGGCCAATTCGCAGTCCCATCAGTCTACTTTGATCTTCAATAGAGTGACAGAAGGTGTCATCAATAGTATTATCAGGCAGCACCTGCTCATTGATGCCCAATTTGCGTTTCACCAGGATCACTCAGATCCTGACCTTATTACAATCTTTGGTCAAACATGGACAAAGGAGCTGAATTCCAAAGGTGAGGTGTGTGAGACAGCCCTTGACATCAAGGCTGCATTTGAATAAGTGTGGCATCAGGGATCCTGAGCAAAACTGGAATCTGTTGGAATTGGGGAGCAAACTCCCCACTGGCTAGAGGCATACATGGCACATAAGATCTTTGTGGTTGTCGGGAAGTCAGTCATTTCTGCTGCAGCTCATCCCTGCAGGAGTTCCTCAGTAATGTCCCTGAGTAACCTCCCACTGCCTGCCTGCAACCCCCTCCTCCCCTCTTCCTCTCCCCGCCCCGACCCTCCCCAAACCATCATAAGTGGGGATGCTCCCCAATTATCATAGTGTTCAGCACCATTCGCAACCTCTTAGATACTCAAGCTGTCCATGTCCAAATGCAACAAGACCTGAACAATATCCAGGCTTGGGCTGACAAATGGCAAGTAACATTCACACTAAGTACCAGGCTATAACCATCACCAATAAGAGACAATCTAACCACTGCCCCTTGGCATTCAATGGTGTTGCCGTCACTGAATCCCCCATTACCAACATCCTGGGAGAAACTGATCTGGACTTGCCACGTAAACAGACCTGCAACACAGCAGTTCAGAGGTGAGGAATACTGTGGTGGGTAACTCACCACCTGACTACCCAAAGCCTGCCCGTCAAGGCACAAGTCAGAAGTGTGATGATGATATTCCCCACTAGCCTGGATAGGTGCATCTCCAGCAACACTTGAGTGTGACACCATTCCAGACAAAATAGCCTGCATGATTGGCATTTATTTCCTCCTCCACCACGACTCAGCAGCAATGTATACTATATACAAGGTGCACAAAATCCAAGATCCTTGTCTCCTTCCAAACCCTTGACCACTTCTATCAAGAAGGAGAAGGGCAGCAGATAAATGAGAACACCACCACATGCAAGTTTCCCTCCAAACCACTCACCATTCTGACTTAGAAATACATTTGAAGGAACTGCAATGTGGCTGGATCACAATCCTGAAATTCCCTCCCTAAGTCAGCATGTGGCCAGCCAGCAAACTCCCATGAATAAATTTAAAAAAAAAATTTGTCTTGATACCAAGCCGCCTCCCCTCACGTTGATTCTTGACAGGATTATCTGTGCCCAAGGGCTGAACTTCAGCAAGCAGACTGAAGTCTAATTCTGCTTTTATATCCTTTCACCATCCCAATATTGTTCTACTTCCTCAACATTTCTCTTAAGAATTGTGAATGATATGACGTCTGGTAAAAGTAAACTGTTTTGTTTCCAATGTGAAGACCATATTCTTGCTATGAATTATATTGCCATTTCCTTGGCCATTCACTCTGAACCAGATAATTAGTCTCATTTGAGCCAGAGTTAAGTTTCCAAAAGGCAGTTACAGCTATTGTGACATTAATGTACTCTGCCCTTGTGTTGTTTCTTATGTTTCCATCTATCTATTGGCTTTCTGCTGGCAGAATTCAATAGTCTTTGGAAGTTGAGGGATCTGGGGATGGAGGAGTTGAGATGGAAGATCAGCTGTTACATTATGGATTGGCAACAGGCTGTGCAGGCCATGTGACTGACTTCAGTTCCTGCAAATCTAACAGGGTAAATACTAAGAGGATGCTCCTCTGATGGGAGAGTCTAGCAACAGAGGATACCTTTTCCATAAAGGGGCACAAGTTTAAGACAAATGAGGAATTTCTTCTCTCATAGTTGAGCGTCTTTGGAATTCGATGCAACGGAGAGGTGTGGAGGCAGAGCCCCTGTGCATAGTAAGGGCTGAGATTGATTCTTGATCAGTCGTGAAATTGAGGGTTACGTGAAAAGGACAGGAAAAAAGATGTGATGAATGTTGAATTAGCCATGATTCCGTTCATTAGGAGGGGATGAATGGTCTATTCCTGTTATGGTCTTTAAAGATAGTTGATCTTAAGTGAATAGAAGTGTTGGTTGAACTCCCAATCTTGCTGGAAAAGTTGAATACATCTCTTTCCAATTCCAGTGCTACACTAAGCAAGGAGGTGCACTTTCTCGTGTAAGTGTGGTCAATGCCAATCTTGAAGTAGTTTATGATGTGTTTGTTAAACCTGACAATGAAGTGATTGATTTCAACACCAGGTAAGTAATCATTTATGTCTTTTGCTTGTGTTCATCTTTAAATAGGTGAAATAACTATCCAAACATGACAGATTAAGTGCAATTTAACTTATTAAAAAGCCAACATTGATCCCAAAAGTGTGCCTGAAGAGGAGTTGAATGAGATTAAAATCAGTCTTGGAAATCAAATGAATGAAATAACGTATTCCACGTATGCTTTGCAGTACAGAACTTTAATATTGCTGCAAGGAAAAACATGTTGCCAAAGACTTCTCATCTTGTGCTCATCAGGCTAAATGCAAAGAAGCCATCGTTAAAATCCTTATACCAAAGTAGAAAAGGTGCTAATTAGCCAGCCATTGACTCTGGCCGAGGTATTGCCTTGGAATAAGTAGTTCCAAGTTCCTAGATAATGCAAAAAAAAAATGCAAGCTTGAACAAATTCTTTCATTTAGAGAGAACAACAGGTCCCATATATGAATGTATATAATTCCTAGCAAGCCTAAATAAGACATTTGAGCTCAACTGATCATCTTTAAGTTGGTGATTAGTGTAGCTTTTGGCACACGATTGTTCAGCCACTGCTGCCTTATCAAGAAAACATCCCAAATAGCTGTTTTAGGTTTTGGGATGGCAAGCATAGGCTGGTTTAGTATAGTCTGTCATAGACCACCAAAGACTGACTGACTTAAAGCAGCAATCACTAGGGCATACAGCCTATGTACCTGGTAGCTCTCAGCGTGGATGTCCACACATACCATTGCTCAATTAGGTGGAACAATAATCTTTGGTAACCTGTCTCTTTCCAGCAATAAATTATGTATTTATAGTAAAACTTGGTTGATTTTTGTGCTGATTAGTAGCCAGACGATACTGAGGAAACAGCCACATTTTACTGAAATAATAAATCCTTTGTAAATAACTTTAATTATGCAATTGAAAGCTCATCCTATCTTGCAATTTAGTCCCCAACCCCACCAAAAGAGACATACTCTGTTTGCTCAACAGACTGGCTGGCTGTTTATAATTGTTTCCGACCTGTTTTAAATTTCTAAACTGTAGGTTTTCTGGTGTAACTCGAGAGGATGTGATGAATGCAAAAACATCTCTTGCTGATGTTCAGTCAGCATTATTGGCCATGCTCAGTGCCGACACCATATTGATCGGCCATAGTTTGGACAAAGACTTGCTCACGCTGAAGGTAAGCTTGTTTCCATTACAGTGAAATTGAAAAACGTCCATTCTAAAGTTTTTATCTTGACATAAACCATCCAATATTGACAACTTATTTAAAAACAGAAAGAACTAAGGATGCTGGAAATGAAACAAAAACAAACAGCTGAAAAGGCTCAGCAGGTCTGGCAGCATCTGGAGAGAAATCAAACTAAACATTTTGGGTCCAGTGACCCTTCCTCAGAACTGATGGTAGCATGGAAAAGGTTGTTTTTTATGCAGGAGATAAGGTTGGGGGGGATGCAGGGAGGGGCGGTAAGGAGTAAACGATAGGTAGAGATAGAGCCGAAAGAGAGCAGAACGGTTGGACAGACAAAGGAGTGGATAACAATCAGCCTGGTAGGATGAATATCTACTAATGAGAATAATTAATGGTTAACAATGGGTTGTGTGTAATAGCAGACCATGTGATTTAACAAGACCTGCTATGTGGGGTTTGGGTAAGGTCCAACTTCTTCCTTGCTACCATCAATATTGAGGAAAGGTCTCCACCCAAAATGTTAACTGATTTCTCTCCATGGTTGCTACCAGACCTGCTGAGCTTTGACAACTTTATTTTTAATTTTTCCAAGATATAGCAGGTGGTTAGGGAACTAACAAGGGAAAAACATAATTAACCTCATCCTTACCAAACTGTCCATGGCAGTATCAGTAACAGTGACCACTGCACAGTCCATGTGGAGACCAAGTCCCACCTTCATATTGAGAATAGCCTATATGTTGTGTGGCACTATCACCGTGCTTAATGGAACAGACTTTGAATAGATCGAGTAACTTAAGACTGGGCATCCATGATGTGCTGTGGGCTATTAATAGCAGAATTTCAATCTGCAACTTTGTGGCCCCGGATATATCTCACTCAGTCAGTACCATTTAAGCCTGGGGATCAACCCTGATTCAACAGAGATTGCGGGAGGGCATACCAGCACCAGGTTTACCTGAAGATGAGTTGTCAGTATGGTGAAGCCACCAAATAACAGGACTGCTTGTGTGCCAAATGTGATAGATGGAATTTAGAGATACTGCAGCCAGTAGATCAGATTTAAGTTCTGCAACCCTGCAGCCAGTTGGGAATGGTGATGGACAATTGAACAACTCACTGGAGGAGGAGACTCCTCAAATATTCCCATCCTCAATGATGGAAGAGGCCAGCGTATCAGTGCAAAAAAGAAGCTGAGGCATTTTCTATATTCTTTAGCCAGGAAAGCCTAGGTGGATGATATATTTCGTCTCTTCCAGTAGTCCCCAGCATCAAAGATACCAATTTTCAGCCAATTCAGTTCACTCCCTGTGATGATAAGAAATGCTTGGAGGCACTGGATCCTGCAAAGGCTATGGGCCCTGACCACAAATTTCCAGCAATAATATTGAAGACTTGTGATCCAGAACTTGCTGTTCCTCTGGCCAAGCAGTTCCAGTACAGTTGTAACACTGGCATCTACATGACAGTGTAAAAAATTACCCAATATGTCCTGTACATACAATAAGGCAGGACCAATCTAACATGGCCATTTAGCTCACCATCCGTTTACTGTCATCAATAAAGTGACTGAAGATGTCATCAACAGTGCTATCAAGCAGCATCTGCTCCCTGATGCCCACTTTGGGTTTTGCCAGGGCCACTCAGCTCCTGACCTGATTACAACCTTGGTCAAACATGGAGAAAAGAGTTGAATTCCAGAAGTGAGGTGAGAATAACAGCCCTTGACATCAAGGCTACAATTGATTGAGCATGGCATCAGGAGCTCTAGCAAAACTGGAATCCATGGGTATCGGGCAAACTCTGCAGATTGGTGTCATAACTAGGTCATAGGAAGGTGATTGAGATTGTTGGAGGTCAGTCGTCTCAGCTCCAGGGCATCAGTGCAGGTGTTCATCAGCTCAATCCTCTTTAGCTGCTTCATCAATGACCCTCCCTCTGTCAAAGTTCGAGTGGGGATGTTATGCGGTCATTGTTCAGTACCATTAGTGACTCCTACAATAGTGAAACAGTTCATTCTTCAAATGCAGCAAGATCTGCACAATATCTAGGCTCGGGCTGACAAGTGGTACACACATCCCACAATGACTATCTTCAATAAGTGCCGATCTAACTACCACCACTTGATCTTCAATGGTGTTAATATCACTGAATTCCCCATATCAACATCCTTGGTTACCATTGACCAAAAATTCAACTGGACTCGCCACAATGTGGCTCATGGCAACAAGAGCAGATCAGAATCTCTGAATACTGTGCTTAATGAGGTTATGTCCATTTGGTAAGAATAGAGATGTAGACTAGTTTCTAAATGGAGAAAGGCTTTCGAAATCTGAAGTACAAAGGGATTTGGGAGTCTTAGTTAAGAAAATCCTGAAGGTTAATGTGCAAGTTCAGTTGGCAGTTAGGAAGGGAATGATAGCATCCCTTTTAAGAGGGTTAACATACACAACCAGATATCCATCATCAGCGGTACATGGCTCTCATCAGACTATTGTGAGCAGTTTTGGGGGCCCATGTCTAAGAAAGGATATCCTGGTGTTGGACGGGGTTCCAGAGGAGGTTTACAATGATCCCAGGGATGAAAGTCTTATGAGGAGTGGTTGAGGACTTAGTCTGTACTCCATGAAGTTTAGAAGGATGGGGTGGGAAAGGGTGTAAGTGGTGGGGGGGGGGAAGAGTGAAACTTACAGAAACCTGAGGCCTGGATAGAATGGAAGTGGAGAAGATGTTTCCACTAGTAGGAGAGACTAGGACCTAAGGGCACAGCCTCAGTTAAGGGATGACCCTTCAGAGCTGAGTTGAGCAGGAATTTCTTTATCCAGGGGTGATTTAATCTATGGAATTCATTGCTGCAGAGGCTGTGGAGGCTAAGTCATTGAGTATATTTGAGACAGATGTTCTTGATTTGTTAAGGGGGTCAAGGGTTATGGGGGAAAAAGCAGGCAAATGAGCTTGAGAAACATCAGTCATGATTGAATGGCAAAGCAGACTCAATGGGCTGAATGGCCTAATTCTGCTCCTACATCTTATGGGAGTGCTACCACCTACAAGATCCCGCCCCCTCCCCCTACAAGCTATTCACCATCCTGACTTGGAAATACATCACTGGTCATTCAGTGACACTGGGTCAAAATGCTGGAATTCCCTCAGAGGGCATTGCGGGTCTACCTATAGCACATGGACAGCAACAGTTCAAGGAGGAAGCTCCCCACCTTCATAAGTAACTAGGAACGGGTAATAAGTGCTGGCCAGCCAGCAGTCCTCGTCCCATGAATGAATTTAAAAAAAAAAGTGCCTCAGTTTTTGTCCTGCATCTCTGCACCACCACCCCAGTGAAAAAGATGTGCAGTGTTTGTAGGACTTGTTAATGACTTAATATGGTGTATAGCCTTGGTCCTGGTATAGATTCTAGAGATTTATTCGGGTCAAATGGAGTGGGAAAATCTGGCATTTTTTTTTGATTGGGGATAGGAGCTCCTTTTTATAATGAGGTTGAGTTCTATAGTTTAGAGTCATTTTCCACAGTAACTTCTAGACAATCCACTTTGACCGCAGCCTATTACAGGAAACAAAACTTAGCACATCGAAATTCTAATCTATCTTAATTATTTTGCCCATTTAAAGCTTTCCATTTCCTGGCTACCTGCACAGGAAGTGCATCTTGTAATTCCCAAATAACCCATTTTCTTATCCATAGTTGTTTTCCATGAATTTTCGACTGCCTTTCCTGGTTTAGTATTCACTGAATTCTAACATCAAATCCAGTATTATTTGCATGGACTGTATATGCTATCGAAATGGCAGCAAGCTTTGTGCGCAGATTAAGTAGATTTAAACACTCAAGCAATTGCTTATCATTCACCATTTGAAAAATAGTTTCTTGCAACTCAATGATAGTAGGAACTGCAGATGCTGGAGACTGAGTTAACAAGGACCCTTCTGAAGAAGGGTCTAGGCTCGAAACGTCAGCTTTCCTGCTCCTCTGATGCTGCTTGGCCTGCTGTGTTCATCCAGCTCTACACCTTTATCTTGCAAATCAATGACTGGTTGTGATGTAGGCCTTTTGTTCATTCCTGACTGGCACAAAAATAAAACCAGGAAAGGTAGCCTGACCATGGCTATTAAGGGAAAGTGGGTATACAATTGGAACCAAGGAAAGGGCAGACATTTTGACCAAAAAGAAGCAGCAGACTGGAGGATTGAGTAGTTTTGATTTTAGTAAAGGAGATTTGAAGGATTAAGAGGGGGAAAATAGAGTACAGGAGTAAGCTTGCAGGAAACACTGATTTGTAAAAGCTTCTGTTGGTATACAGGGAAAAGAAGTTAATGAAAACAAACATTGGGTCCCTTGCTGGAACAGGGTAAGGTATAATAGTGAACAAAATTGGCCAACTGATTTTAAATATGTTTTGGTTCTGCTGTCAAAGGAGGGCACAGATATCACAAAAATGTTGGGAAATGCAGGATCCAGTGAGAGAAGATCTGAAGGAAGTCAGAATTAATAGGAAAATGGTGTTGGGGAAAATAATTGATTTTTAAAGGCCTAGAAATCCTAAGGACCCAAAAATCTACATAGAACATAGAACATTACAGCGCAATACAGGCCCTTCGGCCCTCGATGTTGCGCCGACCTGTGAAACCAATCTGTAGCCCATCTAACCTAAACTATTCCATTATCATCCATATGTTTATCCAATGACCATTTAAATGCCCTTAAAGTGGGCGAGTCTACTATTTTTGCAGGCAGGGCATTCCACGCCCTTACTACTCTCTGAGTAAAGAACCTACCTCTGACATCTGTCCTATATCTATCACCCCTCAATTTAAAGCTATGTCCCCTCGTGCTAGCCATCACCATCCGAGGAAAAAGGCTCCCACTGTCCACCCTATCTAATCCTCTGATCATCTTGTATGTCTCTATCAAGTCACCTCTTAACCTTCTCTCTAACGAAAACAGCCTCAAAACCCTCAGCCTTTCCTCATAA